GTTGTGAACACTTGACACAAGGTCTATCCTATGACACAAAATTTGCAAGATAACTCAAAATTGCTTTCAATGATCTGTCTCATAGAGAGGAAAAAGCCAAAGAATCAGAGCCTGCCGCAGAAACCTCCACAGCAGCAGAACCAACAGCAGAGCCAGCAGCAGAACAAGCAGCAGCAGAACCAACACCAGAACCAGTACAGGCAGCCACTGAACCCACGCCAGTAGTGACAGAACCTGTGGCAGAACCCCCTGTAGAACCTCCAACAGAGCCCCCTGCAGAATCCCTGGCAGAAGCCCCAGCGGAACCCCCAGCGGAGGCAGGAGCAGACCAAGAGGAGGAGGTGGACATTGACCTGGAAGACCCTGAGGTGCAGGCAGCGGCCGAGAAAATCCAGGCCAGCTTCCGGGGGTTCAAAGCCAGGAAGGACCTCAAGGAGGTGAGAGATATAGTTGAAATCTCTAAAGAACCGGTCTCTACAGAAAACAACCGAACAGTGTTGTAGTCAAGCACAAGTTCTCTGCCAAATTTTGAAGTTGTTAGGTGGGAAGACTGAAGTACATGTACAAGTACATGTACGGGGACAGTACAGAGTAGTGCTGTTTGATAAAATATTAAGTTTTTGTGACAGAATGAATACAGTACTTGACCGAGTACTTGTGTACTTTTCTCCTTCAAATTTTATTTTTTACAAAACGTGGAGTGCTTGAAGTCCTCAATTTTTTGGAATGTTATATGTTCGTGTACTGGTACCTCTGTGCATTTACCATCAAATGTCCATCACTCTCTAGCTTTGTTCTCTTGCATCCACCTCATTTTAACCCTTCATACCAGGAGCCGTCCACAGCCGTGGCCTCGTGTGAGGATTAGTGCAAACCATACAGTCTATTCACCATGCAGCTGCTGGTTCAATGTGGGCCTGCTGCTGGACAGAGCTTTGCATACTGGGCATACCCAGAGCCCAGCAGTCACGGTCAAAAGGATCCTGGCATGAAGGGGTTAATGCAGTGAATTTGGTATTCAGAAAGTGGAAAAGTACAAAAGTGAAACTAGTAGACAGTGGTTTGGATGATGTGCTCTGTCTTGTGAGGACAGAGGATATTGTCTGCCTGAGCCCATCGGTTCCCCTCAGAGCTTCAGTCTGAGATGATTTGCAGGGTACTACACCTACCACATACTTGTCCTGTGTCTTCAGATCAGTTGATGGTGGTATCACTGAAGCCATGTGAGGTGACACACCCTTCTATAATGTAGCACTTTTTGCTCTGCCGGCATTTTGGCGATGTTCTCATTTATGAGCCCAGACAATGCAAATTACACAAGAAATGAAGTGACATGGCAAACGTGATTGCATCAGTGGAAGCAAGCACATGTACAGTACTTGCATGGCCATTTCCGTTTAGACATTAAACCATCTTGCTAAATATCCTCCACTGTTTTCTTAATTAAAATTTGGCCTCTTTATCCACTGTATACCATGGCAGATGGATTGGTGTGGGCAGTGCACACATCTCCTTCCACCTCCACACATGTAGCTCGTTCTGTCCCTTCCCCCTCCCCTACACCCCCCCTCCCCCGAGGCACTACCGGTAGTAGGAGGATTAGATACATATATGTACCTGTACATATTTCCTAGATTGTTTGAGACAGCATAACTGGCTGACGGAATTGAACCATGCTTAGTCTGGTCTGTAAGTGCTGGGTGGGTGTAAGTGATGTACAACCAATTGATTGAGAGCATACAGACCTGTACACACGCAGCTAGCTCTTGGACGTGTGTTGGATGCTTGTAAGTCAGTGGAGTTACGTGTAGTCTCAATGTTGGTCTCTCTCTCTCTCTCTTGGAAAGCCAGATGCGGTAAGGCTGGACATGGCTTGGAGCTGGGAGATTTTTATGACATGCAAGGGTTTTTTTTTTTTCTGTTTTTTATTGCCAGATTCATTCATGTTTTCAATGAACTGCCTTGTGAAATTTTATCTTTCTCCAATCCAATGCAGTCACTCCGGTTACAGCTACATGTTACTCTGCAGACAAAAATATTATAGGCTAAAAATTGTGTTCGTCCATTTTCAATTGATGCCAAGTGTGTGTTACACTTAACGAGGGCAGAACAGATTGATTTTTTTAGAGGGGTGGGGGCTTCAAATAGAATTTTACATAAAAACAAAAAGTCAGCGACCAGTGTTTAAAATTTCTGTTGTACCTAATCAAACTCGGACCATTTGAAGTTAACCATCTGTGCCGTGGCATGCACATGTACTCCTGAATTCACTACCACACTAGTTGACGTTGATTCTGTACATATACCAGATACATGTACACGTATTTGTTTTGTATACATACATGTACAGTATGCAGAGTCTTATGTACATGTACGTGTACCGGCCATCGCCCGGTACGCACTGGTACTTCAGAGTCCGTCAAGATGGATCATAATTTTGTTGATTTTGAACTTAGTAACTGCACCAGCCCTCCTGTTGGTGTGCCCCAGAGGGTTGAAGATGGTTGTTGGGTTGAAAGTACCGATAGAAAAATGAGATTGTGGTATCAATGATACATGTATAGTATACGAAATACACGTACCCATAGCACAAACGATTTTGTTTGAATGAGTTTGGTATTTGTGTCCAAAATGCTAAAAGTTGGTCACAATATGTCTTTTTGGACAGTTAAAACGATTATGATGATTGGCTAAAATAACACACACGATGCAATGTACTGTATACCCTCTGCAAGTTGTTAAACTAGGAGGACATTCCTCTGCATGCTTGTTGTTCTGCCGTAATTGATCATATTGACAAGCCCTTATGCTGTACATGTATCCCACATCCATGTACTTGTAAAGCATTTTCCCTAGGCTAAATTCAGCCGCCATCTGCACGGCTGAAATGACGGAACTTTGACGATTTGATCCATCAGTTCCTTTCAGATCTCCGTCAAATCACCACCTGCGTCAGGCTGTAAGCAACTCATCAGTCTGTAAGGAATCACTGTGAAGTTACATGTACATGTAATTTGGGTCCAAGTTCTACTGCGTATAGGCCTATTAGTAAAGTGTTTAAATGATAGAAATTCCTGAAAACATCTGTTGGCACATTACAGAATTACATGTGGTATTGTCCATGCACTTGCACATGACAGCTGTTGGAAACCTGAATTTTCCAAAGTTAAATGTTTATGCATGTCGGTACACAATCAAACATACGCTGATAAGACAGCTTTTCCTGAATTTCTTAAGCATGCTACCTGTAAATGCAGTGATTATAGACACAGAATTGTCTGCTACTGGAGACTCCATGCTGGTGAACTGGGCGCTGGATTCTTTTGTACATGCACGTGCATGTTGAATAACATGATCTGACTTGTTAAAACCGAAAGGTTTAGGGTACTCTCCTGTACATTACATGTACCTCTTAGAGAGGATCACATATTGAAAGCAAGAATACTGTTAGCACTTTGCGTTTTAAATTGCAGCGTGAAGACACTCCTGGTTCTTCTGTATCAATGGAATTTTTCAATAGCTTTCCATCGTCTACATGAACATGAAATGCATTTGCTCAAATTACTGAAAACTGTGCCCTGCTTTTGTCAAATAGACCCCCATTCATCTCTAGTCGCTCAGTGTACCGGTAGTTTCACCGCGCGTTGTATTGATTTCATCTCCATGGCTCTTGTTAATGCTGTTTTCTGTCTGCTTCCATTCATTCTCTCAGTCAGCACTTCAAACCTCACTTTATTTGCCCCTCGGAAAAATGTTTGAGCATTCATACATCATAAAAGTCATCATTTCACACAGACAGATCAGGGAAACAGAAGTTAAAAAGGCCTGAAGTCAAACAGAAATTGAAGAAGCAGTTTACAGTAGTAATTCTAGAAGTCTGTCTTAATTTCTTTTGACCCATTTTTTTTCTTTTGTGCGGGACACGTCCTCTCAACTTGTATACAAATGCCTCAGGCATTGGGTTTTCAAACACATTGTCATTTGAAATTTACATCGTAAATAGCCTAAACTACAGAGTACTTGTACATGTACATGCTTGAAATGAATAGCCACAGGCAAGTACCCTACAGCTTGTACCAGTATGTTTGCAGGCATTGAGCCTGCAAGTTTGTGGTGTAATTGTGGACAATTCATTTTCTGCGTATTGGTCTGGAACTGACTGTACTCATGCGTTGGCCATCTTGCATTGAAAGTGCGGCGAGCTTTTCATTTTCGGAACCTAAGAGTGAAAATAACAGTGTCCAAAGAAAGGCGTATTACAAATGAATGGCAAACTTTTGCATATGGAATCATTTGAAATTTTGGGTAAATTGTATCTACGGTAAATGTAGTAATTAAGCCAGATTTGAAATAAACTGAAAGGGAGGCTTGGAACCTAAAATAGTCTTGCACCACGCATTTAACAGATTATTGGATTTGATAGATTCAGGGAACACAGTCAAAAATGGCTTATTCCCTGTAAATAAGATCTATCATACGGTACATATGAATTAAACAGAGATAGAATCAGGTGTTGAATTTTAATGATGATACAGTGTACCAATAGGGACACTTGAAAAAAGCCTCACATTGTCTGCCATTACTGGTGCTCGTTGGGCTACGCATCATTAATGTCCAGGGCTGATGATCACCGAGCCCAACCATTTCAGCTCCCTGGAGAACATGCTGTTCCTGCATGTACGTTGCAGCCATTTGTAATTGTCCAGTAAACAGCGATCCCCTCGGTCCTCACAGGTACCCATTTTGACTCAGGCTGGGAAAGAGACAAATGGGAGGGGAGTGACTTGCCAAAGTTTACACTATGCATGTAATACACTGCCAGAAATTAGAGGTCCAAAAGTGTGACATTTTTGGGTCCCAGTTATACTGTACATCTGACCTTTGTTATTTGACTGGGAAATATCACCAGAATTGATATCAAACTATTACTATTTGTTTGGCAGGTAATTTGCATTAATCCATCACTCTTGGAAATTAGAAAATGGGTTCTGAACTTACGAAATTATACACTGTACATGTACATGTATGTGAGATCATGACAAGGACATGAAAAAAATGGACCCCTAATTTCTGGAATTACCCTCATGCCCTATCCCAGGATTCAAATCCTCAATCCTGATTGGGAGTAGTACATGTAGTACAGATTCTAATCACAAGACCACTGGAATGGGAAATTTTGTGAAAGGAATTCTCTTTGACTTTCACACTCACTGTTACAATACATTAAAAACAATTTCCTACCTGTGTGAAAAGGATCAAAGAGCTGTCTGCTGTGGGAAAATACGTGAAGATGGTACACATGAAATGGTACCGGTTTCTTTTCCCAGTGTGGGAACAGTTTTTCCCTTGAAAAGAGAAAAGAGTGTGGAGAACATTTCCCATTCTCGGGTTCATTTTCAATTGCAGTGGTGCACTTGTTTGATTCAGGTTCAACATGCACACACTATGAACACGTGACCAAGAGCTGATGAATTTGCCTTATCGGGTTTGGTTTCAGCAGGATACCGGTAGCTACATGTACATGTCGTTCAGAGTCCTTTTGTTGAATTCGGACTCAATCCTACATGTAGTAGGGGACTTAAGAGACTGAATGAGTTACACGGGTACTCCACTTCCTCGAGCATACCGGTACAGCGAAGCCTGTTGTGTGGATACTGAGGAGATACGGCGCAGCTTTACTATAGAAAGCCCTCAAACAAAATTCAAGTTAGAAACAGAACAGAAACCTGGTTTTGTATCCTTTGGGGGAAGGGGTGTCATTAGTTGGGCTGCTGGCAGCTGCGGCTCCTCTTTTTCCCCGTGATTAGCCCCCGACACCTGTCCGTGAAAGGCCACACCAGCCCATGAATAACTGAGTTCTGGTTGCCTCCTATCGCCAGGCTACTGTAAACTCGGCGGTCTGGGAGGAAAGCCCAAAGGTCGGCAATGGTGGGAAGGAAATGGACACAGCGGGAGAGTAGGGGTTGGGAGTTGGAGATGTGTCACAGCGATGTTCTGGCTGGCTGCTCCTCGTGCATTATTGAATCCACAGAGTCACGAAGACAGCTTCAGAAATTGATTTCCTTTGCCAGTCGTGTGACTGGTGCTCTGGCCTTTTCATATCCAACCCCATCATGATGTATGAATTATTGATGACAAATTTCTGTTGAAATGATTTTTGATGTGTTTTGTTTTTACATACCGGTATGCATGTACCCCAGTAGGAGTCACATTTGCCATGTGCCGGTTCGTGTAACGGAATGTGTAGCACGTCTGAGTTCAATCAAGATTATGCATTCCCTGAATCCTCTTTGAGGTGATTCCATTTTTTTTCCTATGGAAAATGATCAATAAATTACAGTAGATTGGAGCAGGCACTAAACATCTGCTCCCCTCAGTCTCTGACTCATTTTCTACAGGGCATTCTGAACAGTTTGGAAAAATAAATGGAATGCCTCGTCAGCAGGACCAACTTGAGCCCTGGATATGTAAATTTAAAATGACTGTACATGTGCATGTATGTATGGACTAAATATTGGATGTTTGCTTACATGTATACAGTACATGTATACTGTACATTGCAAAAGTCCACTTTCAATGGGATACCACTACATTATCAAGAAATAAAAGGTGATTTAGAAAATGTGCAACACTGATGATTACCTTTCTTATTGCATGCACATGTACATGTGCATGTACATGTACATGTACCACACTGACTACCACTTCTAAATTTAGTACTGCGGTTACTTACCATATTAGGATGCTGTACATGTGCAGTTGTGAATACAAATTACCTTAGCATCAGATGATACAGAAAAAGTTAACCTTGAATGCAGTTGATTCTGGTTCCTTCACGCCGTGCCGAGAGAGAAATTTTGCCATTAAAAATGACCGTGAACTTCAGCTGCCATTGGCTGTCTGCTGAAACAGCACTCGGGAAATAATTATAAAATTCTAAAATAATTAGAAAGAGCAAAGCCACACTGGCTGCTGTGGCTATGAGTGTGCGTTGTGCTTTCCAGTAATTGATTGGACTCAACATTGATGAGTTCGTGGCTTTTCGGATCTGGCACGTGGGCCCTTTGATGTCTGCTGTGATGACAATGGAATGGATCATGTCCCTTTGATGTCTGTTGTGATGACGATGGAATGGATCTTGTCCTTTTGATGTCTGTTGTGATGACGATGGAATGGATCTTGTCCTTTTGATGTCTGTTGTGATGACGATGGAATGGATGTTGTCCTGGGAAGAGAATAGCAGAGAAGAATTAAACAGCATGCTCCACGGAAAAAAAAAAATCTTTACATGTGCATGATTTATTTTGTAAAATGCTCAGGGGAAGTCTTTTCTTGCTGTTTTTTGAAAAAAATTAAAGGAAAAAATTACCGTAAGTACATGTACACACATGGGCAGGTATTGCGGAGAACATGCACATATTTGTCAGCATACAGAATAATAATCTCATTAAGCAGCATTGGGCTTGACCAAGACAGTGTTTTTTTACCCCTGAAATAGCCTCCACAGGTTTATGTACATTTTTATGTCATCCTCTACAATGTAGTAAGTCCCAATGCCGTTTTATATGTACCGTATGTAACTTTCAGTAAAATGAAATACTGTCTAATTTCTTTTTGGAGAAAAAGTCACAGAAACCACCAAGTAGAAAAGATCCCCCCCCCCGAATAAACCCACAAGATTTGCAGGAATTCATGTTCATTCGTGTGTCCAGGAAACAACTGCAGAGCCAACAGCAGAGCCAGAACCAGTGGTAGAGCCCGAAGCCCCAGCCGAAACGCAAGCTGCACCCCAGGACGCAACCCAGGAGGGAGAGACAGAGCGTCCAGCAGAGGCCCCGACAGAGACTGTGCCAGAAGAAGCTCAGGCTGAGGAAACACAGGTACATTGTGGCAAAATCTCTTGAACCTAATTTTTTCCTTAATCCAGAGACCAGTCTCAAGGCAAAGGGAAGCAGGCTTGTTATTTGCCGCTGAAGGAATAGATTGTCTAAACCTGCTGAATGGGCCTACATGTACCGGTAAGTAACAAAATAACACAGCAGGACACCTGATTGTCAGAATTCAATTTAATTCTAGTTTATTAACAGATCAATTAAATGGAGCACTTGGCAGGAAAATGTGAAATGTATTTGGTAAACCTTTGTTTATTGAACCTGCTGTACGGCTGACTACGCGACTACCGTACCTCACTGTATGTAGCTGACTACAATACTTACAATAACAATTCACATTTGGGAGAGGAGTTCACAAGAAGTGCCTGTGTGGTTTACTATATCTACGGGTGTCTCTGGTTAACTACCTGGACCACAGCCGGAAGAAAGCTAGGTCAGTCCCTGTTCACCACGATGCACTTAAGTAGTAAACGCTGATGCCGCCCTCAATTACCCTCGGCACACTTTCCCACACTTGGCTGACCCTACATGTGAGGTCACTACTACATGTGCAACTTGTTCTGCTCCTTGCTTCTACGAGAAACAAACACAACAAGTGATTTTAATTGCCCCCAGAGAATGAACCACTTTTACTCAGTGTGTAAAACTATCAGAGCAGCTCTGCACTGTGATTGGGTTTAGGCCTAATTGGTTTTGGGTTGTACTTGTGCATGTACTGTAGTTCATTGCCATCATGACAGACAGTGTAGGAAGCTGTCACTGAAAACCAACAATACAGAAATGATATTTCAAACTTAGAGGAAGCTCGGAAATAAACTTGGAGATCAAGTGAATTACATGTACATGTACTTGTACCAGTCGATGTACATGTACATTTTGTTAGATTAACCTGCTTACACATATCCCACTTTCACATAGAACTTTGTTATGGGTCAAGAAAAACATGTGTATGTATACTCATTGTAACTGCGCAGATTTTTGCATGGAGTTCAGTGATGTCTGAGAATTTAGATAGATTCCTTCCAAAGATCGTTTGTGGAGGTAATTGACTTGTCACATGTACCGGTAGTGTACATTTGCAGTCTATTAATGATTTATTGTACCGGTGTGTATCTCGTCAATGAAGATGTCATACTCAATTAGTTGGAAGTTTGCTTACTCAAGCACCAGTCTTTGAGGGTGTTATTGCCTTTGTGATCCCATTAGGCTGCTGAGGAAACAGAGACAACACAGGAACCAGAGCAAGAGGCGGAGCAAGCTCAGGAAGAGGAGCCAGTGAAAGAGGCGGGGCCATCAGCAGAGGCAGAGCCAGGGCAGGAGGCGGAGCCAGGGCAGGAGGCGGAGCCAGAGAAGGAGGAGGAGCCTTTGGCAAAAGAAGAGCCAGCCCAGGAGGCAGAGCCATCAGCTGAGGCAGTGGAGTCAGCACAGGAGGCGGAGCCGCCAGCAGAGGCGGAGCCAGCACAGGAGGCGGAGCCACCAGCAGAGGCGGAGCCACCAGCAGAGGCGGAGCCAGCACAGGAGGCGGAGCCACCAGTGGAGGCAGAGCCAGCACAAGAGACAGAGACAAAGCCAGAGGAGGAAGAGATCGACATCGATCTGACTGACCCAGAGGTGCAGCAGGCAGCACAGAAAATCCAAGGAGGTTTCAGGGTAAGGAGACAAAAGCCCCCCTTTCCCCATAAACATGGACACTGTGCCAGCTGCACCATAACTGCACAGTGTACTTGATTGTGCAAATTATGCAGCACTGACTTGAGAAACTCTCTAGAGCACCCAGTCGTACATGTAATTAGCTTAGAATACACGAGCTCCCTCTTCAACCTTGAAATGCTGCAGTCACTCTCCATTGAAATCAAATTTGAAAGTTATTTCTCCCCTACATTTTGTGTTCCTTGAAGGCCGTTGGAAAGCAGGTATAATGTTCATGTTCCGCTTCATTAATGTTTTGGGCATGAATGCACTATCGTACTGTACAGTACAGTACATATGGACTTGTAATAGATTTTGACAGTATCGTGTATTGATGTCAATAATTTAATGTTCTGCCCCAGTCGAAATTCCCTGCCAGTAAGCCCAACGTCACCCTATAGTGTGGAATATGAAATACAAGACACAATGCTATACTGTAGATGTAGAGCATACTAGATCAAGATGACCTGTGGTTAGGTGTCATATGCCATGCCAGTAGTAAGAGACTTGTACAGTGATGCCGTTTACACTCAGCCTCATTCTATTATTAATGAACCCTCACCGTATGTTCCGGTTTCTGGCACAAAAAGTGAGCAATCTGTTCTACATGTAGATCTAGATCACATGGATCTGGATCATGATCAGTGATCCATCATTGGTTTACGGACACCGAAACCCGCCTAATGGATGGTGTGAGCCAGCGTAAGGATCACTGATCTAGATCACATGGATCTGGATCAGTGATCCATCATTGGTTTACAGACACAGAAACCCACCTAATGGATGGTGTGAGCCAGCGTAAGGATCAGTGATCTAGATCACATGGATCTGGATCACGATCAGTGATCTATCATTAGTTTACGGACACCTAAACCCGCCTAATGGATGGTGTGAGCCAGCGTAAGGATCACAGCTTGAGATCCAGATCCATGTGAAACAGGCATGCCCTTTATAAAGAGTAATCAGATCAGTTGTTTTGCTCAATGTTAACTTGTCAACAGCGCTTGCAAGCAAAGAAGTCCAAAGAGTCAGTCAGCCAAGAGAACCAAGAGATGGAAGCCCCAGCCCCAGAAGCGCAGGTCAGTTTACAAAGTAGTCAGGATCATTGGCTTGTTCATAGATGCATGCTCCCTTGTTATAATTGGCAAATTAAGTGCACGAGTATGCTTCCGAGCAGATGGAAAAGAGAAATGTTAACCCAACGAAGGCATGTACATGTACATGATCAGTTTTCCACTTCACATGAAATGCATTCTTTTGAGCCATTTCCTCCAGGAATTTCTTGCAGTTTCCTTTCAATCTATCGGTAGTTCTCGACCTGTTTTCTTGATACCCAGTTGGTTCATTAATGGAATGGTGACCAGCAGCATCCCATGGAAACTTGCCTGTGAATGAAGGAATTGGGATTTTTAATGATTGGGTATAGCCCATGTGTCAGGCAAATTTACTTATGTGAGTTGAACAGGGCACCGGTATAAAAATGATTTTGGGCCTTTGTGTTTTTAATTGGAGGGTGTAGCACTTTACCTCTGTTACATGTATATGTATGTGCTGGTGCATGTACTTTTGGCAAATTGCCAAGCTATTCTTACATGTACGGTAAGTTGTACTATGGCACTGAACTTAAAGTTGAGGTTGGTTTATTAACCGGTGGTATAAAAGTCATCATTAGCCTTTAATTGCTTTTATCTTAATTTAATCATCACAGCCAGCAACCTTTGAAGGCCCAGCTGACCAAAATTTGAACAAAGCAGCAACAAAGATCCAGTCGGCCTATCGCGGCCACTTGGTCCGTAAGACCAAAGATATTACGGCTGTCTCGGACAGGTCGACTGACCAAAATTTGAACGAGGCTGCAACAAAGATTCAGGCGGCCTATCGCGGCCATCTGGTCCGTCAAACAAAAGACGAGGCAGTCTCAGAAGGGTCAAAAGAGCCAAATTTGAACGAAGCAGCGACGAAGATCCAGTCTGCCTATCGGGGCCACTTGGTCCGTAAAACAAAAGATGCGGTATGAAGTTACACATTTCAAGAATAGATCATTTCACACTTCCGGTAGCTGAGGTACTTGTACATGTAGAATTTAGCACTAGAGGGACACTGTCATCCTGGTGCACTAATACATGGTCTGGTACTTTATTTCCCCGTAGTCACAGTAGACAGTGTTGTACATGTATTTGAGTCCACCACAAGTCCCTGTAAGTCCATCACAAGTCATTCTGTGTATGAAGCCAATTCACAGCCTATTCAAATGGGCTGCGACCAAACCATTCTTTTGTCATTGTTCACCCTGTTACATGTACCTACATGTATGACTGGCCTCAATTGTGAAGGGACTTGTGACTGCATGGACTTGTGGAAGGGTTAAATTGTGATGGACTTGAAAACAACACAGACAGTAGAAAACTATGTCATGCAGCTTCATCTAGTAGAGATAGAAATGTGTAAGACATATTGAAACATAAACTTGAGCTTTTCTTCACAAGTGACCACAAAGTTCCCTTTGTACAATACTGCATACTGGCAGTATACATCTATATAGAGGTTTCCTGAGGGAGGGAAGTTGTTACATGTACCTTGTCTGTCATGTAGACGAATACATACATACATACATGTAGCCACCACTGTCTCGCTAGAAACTTTGCGCTTGATCTCTGTATAAAATAGGATCTACTGTGCGTGTGTATACATCTGGGACTTACCATTGTGGTTGCACAATGCCAGCAGTTTTAATCACCTTTTTTTAGAATTTAAAACAGAACTTTCATGAATTCCATGCCTGAGAGTGCAGCTGAAATGTCACCTTTGATGAAGAGATTGTGATTTTTTTTAGCTGACACATTTACACCTGCACAGGACGCCCATTGCACCATGATGCTGTAGTCAGAGTTTCCATTTTGAATACCAAATCCCATCTTTGGTGGAGAATTTTTTTTTTGGTATGAGTAGTTGCAAGCGCATCATATGTCACCTACGGTACTGATGTATAAACCATCTTTAATACGGTTCAGTAAGCCTCCCACAGTACATGTACATGTACCGTAAAAGAAACGTTTGATGATGTACATAGTGTAAGGGTCTGTGTAGAAGTTCAGGCCATGTCTTTAGATGTCATGCTCACCAATGAAATCCTTAGGCTTCTGTAGCCATGTTACATACATGTACATGTACATACCGTAGATACTGTATGTTACTGTTGGCCACAGCAACTCATTGGGGCATGGCCCTATTTGGCGTTGAATTACATGTACCACGGCTAGTTTCTGTGAGTTAGCTCAACCTGCAATGTACATGTACGTGCATGAGCTGCATGCTGAGCGTCTTGGAGCCGTGGACCATGATCTGGTTGCTCAGGGTCCATTTTCCGCGGAAGCAGCTCATGCAAAGATTGCAGCCGGACACCCCTGTGCATTTGTTTTTGTCAGGAACTGTCATGCATGAATTTTTACTACATGTACATATATGTCCTTTCGACAACAGAAATTGGCTTAAAAGTCACACATGCTCCTGTTGTGAAAGCTTACCGGTACCTTCACATGTAAAACTCTCTCCTCTAACTGCATGCAGGGAAATGACGGTCGGTACATAGACAACTGCATGTACATGTTAATTTCCGAGTCCATTTTTTGTCGTACTGCGAATTGTAGAAGTCACATGTTTTGTTTGCATGCAACTTGTGCCGTAGGAAAATGCCACAGAGGAAACACCAGCAGAGGAGGATGCCGCACAGGAAGCTACGGAATAATTGTGGTTTGTTTGTCCCTCATTTTGTGTGCTTTCCCCTATCACTCCCTTTTTTTTTCCCTTTGCATCACGGCACAGAGGAACTACCGTACATACATGTATATATTAGCAATTGAAGACTTTTTTGGCTTATGTACTTGTTTGTTTTCCATGGTTGAGGTGCACACCTGTAGCTTCATGTTGCATGATCAAGGCTGGTTCATACTTAATGCGAAAGTCAAGACAAGCATGGATCTGACATAGAAAAGCATTTAAGATACGGTTTATCAAAGTGGAGTTGCGTTCAACATTTGCAACTTATAGCGAGTGTGAATTATTTTTGTGGTATCACAGATTAGCATGAATTTGTATAATTCATGTTTGCTGTTGCAAGGAGTGTGAACCAGCCTTTATACAAGTTGATTGCTTGATTTCTTTGCATGCTTTCACGTGCACATGGTTTGGGGAGATCTGACTTTCAAAGTGTCACAAGTCAAACCAGATTTGTGGTCAAGTATTCACAAGTCAGTTATTGATCACCGTGTAATTAGATTTGAATTAGAGTCCATCACAAGTCCCTGCAAGCCCGTCACAAAACCATCCCAAACCATTCAGTCTCAAGTCACAAGCTACATGTACAATGGGTTATTAAAATGAAATGCAAAAAAGAACCTTTCTTGGTCACTGCGCTCACCCAGCTGCTTATGACTGGACTTGCTGTGGAACCCACCATGCAACACTGGTCGATCAGTTAAGTCATTCAGGGTACCAGATTATTCAAGTTTACGCAGCAGTGACAAAGACTCTCTGAACTGATCCCCTGGGGTTTTTTTGTGACGTTGGATGAAGTGATCAGGCATGCGATTGGCTAAATCATTACTCTGACCAAACTGAATATATAATTGGTATAGTCTCTCACCTCACTTTACTGGGGAGAGTGCATTTCACATTTTCCAGATTTTATTCAACTTAGGTGCACAGTAGGCACATTCACAATCGCAGCATGAATAATTCACCCTAATATGCAGGCCTAGTTTCTGCATAGGGCTGCCACCACTCTTGCTACGAGTATGCACCCACTGTAGGACTATCAGCAGTGTTGTAGTTGACACCACTACAAGACCAGATATACATGTACCAGACACCAGACCATGCACAAGACCATGCACAAGACCAGTCACAAGTAACAGGGTGAACAGTGACAAAGTAGTGAGTAGCTTGTGACTTGAATTCAGACTGGAGGTCTAATTGTGGGGTCCTGTAAAGGTCTTAAGTGGGCTCAACTACAACACTATCAGGTGCCTGACAGCCGACCAACCCGCCTGTGTTCAATAACACTGGCAGTGGTACATGTATCAGTGGATGTCAAAACGCATTAGAAACATCGGAAAAGTTGTAGACTGGTTCAAAGCAGATTTCCTTCACATTCATTGCACAAAGCATTGCCATGGATTCAGTGAGTGCTGCTTCGTGTGGTGACATGTATGGTGTTTTCTTACCCGTACCACGGTGTACATGTGGCTTGGGGAAAAATGCAAGATATTAGGCCAGTAAATGCTGTGTTTCTAGATGTGGTACATGTACATGTAGGCGACTTAACTGTAAATGTACATGTACCTGGTACCAGTATATCTAATATATTTTTGTATATAGTTTGGTATCTTTTTGTTTATTTCATCAGATGAAAGGTAATAGGCCAGGAATACCATGTGTATGTGTGCATGCAATATCTGATACATGTACGATACATGTACCAGTACTCCTCATTTACGAAGACCTACATTTGTTCCAACATGGTTTTTTTTTGGCCTCTAGCAACATACTGTACGTGTACCTCTACAGTACACGTACATGTACATGTACCCACCTTTACTTTTTCCTCTGTGCTCTCAGAAACACAGCATTTCTTTTGACCATCATATCCCAGTGGTAAATAAACATGTACAAACCTTGTCATCTGTCTGCAATTTGTCACTAATTATATGTATATGATATATGATACCAGTAGTTTCACCTGCAGGAGTTTAAGATCACCTTTATTATTCTTTTCAGCTAGTTTGAATTTGACAGTTCTTGAGAATTCAGTGTAATGGTTATAAGAAAAACAGTTTAAAAGTTTGTAGTCTTACAGGTAACATATACTTGTACATGTACGTTGTACAAGGCGATTGATAGGAGAGTATTGTAGTTGAATTCCTTCAGGGAATGTGAGGTGTACAGCACCTCAATGTGTAACCGGAACAGTCACGATTTCAACTGGCAGTACGCTGATTAAAGCTACATGTACATGTACACCTGCATCTTTAAACATACTTGTACACGTACAGGTATTACCCATCTGCTTGCCATGCTCAAATGCACCTACTAACATCAATACACTGTATGTGCTTGCAATGTACTAAAATGTCTCTGTCCGACTCCTTTCTCATTTGTTGTTTGTCTGTGTATAGGTTTCACCCACCGTACTCCAGGACAGCACTGAAGGACAAGACATTGTAGGACAGGCAGATGATCGGGGGGAGCTAGGGAAAAGGGTAGATGAGGGTCAGAGGGACAGGATTGTAGGAACTGAAGTTATATTGGCTAGTCAGGCTTTAGAGGGGATGCAGGCTATTCAGGATATTGTTGAGGCAGGAGTTAGACAGGAAGACAATCAACCGGCTTCTGAAGTCCCTGCCGCTGAGATTGTCCAAGAAGTTACTCTTGAGAGCAAAGCAACTGCTGAAGAAACAGCTGTTGAAGGTGCCAGTGAAGTTGTTCAAGAAGTAATAGAGGATAGTGTAGAAATGACTCCAGAAGTGATAACAAGTGACAAAGCGGTAAAGTCAGATGCTGTAACTGAGGACATTTTGTCTGAAGTACCTGTTGAAGTCATGCCAGAAACTCCAGCTGAAATCTCAACAGATGTACCAGTAACTGGTAGTGAACAGATCCCTGAAGTTGATACTAAGACAGATATTCCAATTGAGGTAACCCTAAAAGATGGTGCACCAGCTGAATCTGAGACACCTGTAGAGACTGATACTGAAGTGCCAAGTGAAATAAGGTCAGAAGTCACTCAAGACTCTTGTGCTGAGACCTCAGCCACAGCTTTTGCTGAGGCTTCTCCTGAGGTTCCTGTGGAGGTAGCTGCTGCAGATGTCAAAGATATTGGACCAACTGATAAAGCTGAGCCAGCTGAAGACGCTGTGACAGAGGTGACAGTTGCAAGCTCTGAAGTCACCGAAGAGTCTGGAATGGAGGCCCCAGCCACGGTTGCTGCTGAGACCCAAGCCACTGTCGCTAATGAGGTCCATGTTGAGGTAGCTGCTGAAGATGTTGAAGATGGCGGACAAGTTCCAGCTGAGCCAGTTGAAGATGCTGTGCCTGAGGTGGCAATTGAAAGTTCTGAAGTCCCTCAAGAGTCTAGAATTGAGACCCCAGACGCAACTGCTGCTGAAGCTCCTGCTGAGATTCCAGTTGAAATACATGCTGAGGTTGTCAAAGATAGCACATCGGCTAAAGCTGAGCCAGCCGAAGATGCTGCAGCTGAGTTGACATTGGATGAAAGTTCTGATGTCGTTCAAAAGTCTGGAATTGAGAGCCCAGCCACAACTGCTGCTGAAGCTCCTGCTGAGGTTCCAGTTGAAGTACATGCTGAGGTTGTCAAAGATAGTACATCGGCTAACGCTGAGCCAGCCAAAGATGCTGCAGCTGAGTTGACGTTGGATGAAAGGCCTGATGTTGCTCAAGAGTCTGGAATTGAGACCCCAGCCACTGTTGCTGAAACTCCTGCTGAGGTCCCTGTTGATGATTTCAAGGGTAGTACACAAGGAAAAAATGATGAGCCAGCTGGAGATGCTGTGACTGAGGTTACGGTAGAAGAAAGCTCTAAAATTACTCAGGAGTCTGGAACCGACAGCGCAGCCACAGCAGCTATTGAAGCTCCGGTCGATTTCGCCACTGACGATGTCAAAGATGGCAAAGCATCTAAAGCTGAACCATCGACAGATACTGAAACCGAGGTCACAGTTGAAGTAAGTCCTGAAGTTGCTCAACAAGCTGGTGCTGAAACCCCATCCACAGCAGCAGCTGAAGCTCCTGTTGAGGAAGCAGTGGAAGATGTCAAAGAAGGTGAACCAACTAAAGCTGAGCAATTGGCAGATGCCGAGACAGAGGCAACAGTTGAAGCAAGCTGTGGAGTTGCCCAGAAATCTCATGCTGATGCCCCAGTCATAACTACTGCTGGAGCTCCTGTTGAGGTTGTTGTTGAGGCAGCCTCTCAAGTTGCCGAAGATGGGGCACCAACTGAAGCTGAGCCAGCTGCAAAGACAGAGAGTGAGGTGCTGGTTGATGTCAGCGCTGAAGTCGCTCAAAAGCCTAGCACTGAGACTCAACCTGAAGCTCGTGTTGAGATTTCTGTTGGACCAATGGATGCTGGAACAGATAAAGTTGAAACCTCAAAGACCGCTGTTGAAGCTTCTGAGGTTCCTGGTGAGGTAGCTGTTAAGGATGAGGAAGATGGTGCACAAGCAAACACTGAGGCATCTGCAGATGTTGGGACGGAGGTGACGGCAAAAACTAGTTCTGGAGGAGCCCATGAGGTAGCTACTGAAGATGTTGACTTTGATTCACAAACTAGATCAGTAGCTGGAACTGAGGTGACAACTGAGGCTCCTGTAGAGGTCCATGTAGCTGTAGAAGATGTGGAAGATGGTTCACCTGTTGAAGGTCAAACCGATGTTGCAGTTGAAGCAACAGTTGAAGTTGCTCCAGAGTCAGGAACCAAAGCCCCTGCTGCTGAGGCTTCATCTAAAGCGCCAGCTGGTCCTGTTGGGACTCTGGTTACTGGAGAAACCCAGACAGAGGACTTCTTTGAGGTAGCTTCTGAAGTTCCTGCTGACCCTGTCACTAAGGCTGAGGCAGTAGTTGCCGAGGCGCAAAAAATTCCAGAAGATGCAGCAGATGAGGCCAATGTTGTTACAATTGAAAATGCCCCCGAATTTACAGCTCCCATCACAGAAGAGGCATCTGGTGGAACTGTGCCTGAGTTGAAAGCTGAGGTAAATACTGCTGGACCATGCACACCCGAGGCCACCCCTGCTGAGGCCCCAGAGGTTGAGGCTGGTGAGGTAACTTCTAATGCCAGTGCTCCTCAGGTCCAAGATCCAGAGGCTTCCACTGAAACTGGCTCTGAGAATGTTCATGCCGATGTCAAGGAAACTCCTGTTGTTGAAAATCCTGTGACAGAACCAACTGAGGACCACGCAAAAAATAAAGTTGAAGATTCTGGGAAGGATGTAGCTTTGGATTCTGGGAAGGATATAGTGGGAGATTTTGGGAAGGATATAGGTTTGAGTTCTGGGAAAGATGAAGCTGGGGATTCTGGGAAAGATGTAGGTGAGAATTCTGGGAAGGATGTAGCCGAAGATTCTGGGAAGGATGTAGCTGGGGATTCAGAGAAGGGTGACCAGGGAACATGTGAGGTTGAAGTTAGAGACTCAGATCAAGCCAGCACCGTAGATCAAGTTCAAACAACTGAAGAGGCTAGTGAGGTAGGATTAGGAATACAGGTTCATCTGTCACATTCTGTCAAATCTAAGTTGTCTGAGGTTTCATATGTGTGAGTTTTTAGTCAGTTTTTTTATGCTAGGATATAGTTGTGCTTGGGAAACGTGTTTCCATAGCATTTTTACTAGTTTAAGATGGTAACTTTTTTTGTCTTTTTTCAGCCAGGAGCATTTTACATGTAGTTTCATTTCCATCAAATTCAAGCTTGTCTTCAAGCCCATGAGTTTCATCTTCATTTAATGTCATCCAACTCCTTAGGCATTGTATTACAACTAATGCCTATTCATTTAGTTGTGTTTTCCTGTTACACAAACTTCCAGGTCAACAGCAAATCATCTGAAGCTCTTCAGGATGCTGCTAAAAAAACAGAAGAGGAGGAGGAGGTTGACATTGACCTGAATGACCCAGATGTTGAGAAGGCAGCCGTTAAGATCCAGGCCAGCTTCAAGAACATCATGTCAAAGAAAAAGAAGAGCAAAGAGGTGGTGGCGGCAGCCGAGGGCACGGCCAGCTCTGACCAATAAGTTACCCAATCAGGTTGTGATTTGGAGGTTTTGGCATTTTCACGCAGGTCCTGAGGTGACTTTGTGGTGGTGGTAAGCATATTTTGTTTTTAAAGGGCTTGCGGCTCTGAAAAATAACTGATTTGTCACAGTAGTCCTTTCTAGTGGCAAAAATGTGGTCTCAACTGTATTGTATTTTAATGACATAGATTTGTTTGGCACACCACCACAAATTCACTTCCCAACAGCACATTCAATTCTGAAGGACTGTGGTAAAAAAAATGATTCCACAAAACTTGATCCCAAAATAAGTTTAAGAAATGTTTAAGATATTGGTCTCACCTTTTCCGTGGAGTTTGTAGAATTAGACTTGAGGAAAGAGTGGCTCTTAATAAACACAAACATGACTGCAGTCATTTTTTGCCTTAAACAGTTGGCGAAAATGCCATATTTTCATAACCACATAGAAGATGGAAATTAATAGGTTCATCATTGCTAAAGTCATACTTCAAAACCTCCAAATCATATTATTTTTTCTATGCACTTCTTTCTCAGTCATATTTTCCTGGCAACTGTTTGTATAGAAAACATCATGGTTATAGAAGTACTCATCGCCGCTATCCACTTTAATAAGATGTATTCTCTATAGTTAGGTATTTGATACTTGAACATTGATGTTAAAGTACTACCAAATCAGTACTTCACCTCAGAGTCAGATAGTTTGGATATACACTATAATATATTTATAGAATAGTTCTATTATACTCAAGCTTTCTTGTGAATTGTGCCATCGAGTTCTGTAAAGGTAAGAAAAATGATTGGTAGAAACCGACAATTACACGCACACATTTCAAAGGTTTGCACACTGCTAATATGGAAGACTATGTGCATTGTAAATTTGTAATGTTTGTTACCTCTGTCTTGACAGCATTGGGAGTGACCCTATTTATTCCAAAGAAAGTACTGTGTATTCAACATGTGCAGAAAATGATACAGTGGTATGTTAGCCTTGCCCTCTGAAATGTGTTTATTTTTGGTCTGTTGGAGAGAGTATGTTACAGTTGCACTGTCCACTCACATTGCAGAACTTTTCGCCCAGTCTTTTCGATGAAGTACACGCATTGGCAAGGTCTCCCAATGCCACAGTATCCAATTTGTGTCTTCATTTGTTGCATATTTAAGACTTTACATAAATCTAGCATGGAGTGTTTGTTTTCCAATTTCATGGTTGTACATACATGTATATGTATTGAGTTTCAATTTTCATTTTTTTTTTCATGTAAACTGGAATTAATTAATGGATTGTTTCACCGTTGTGTATTATATTGAGTTTAATTTAGATTTATTTTCGAAAGCTTCACAAAAATTCAGGCAATTACGGAACTGTACAATTTTTACCAATATTCTGCAAGTGTATTTCATGTGATGTCCTCCATTTCAGCACTCATTCCATCGGTGTGTATTCAGCTAAACCCATCTTCTCTTGTATATTATTTTAATGTACACAAAATGCCTGTGAATTTTCAGTCATCAGTAATAAAGTTGTTTGCAAATTTGGACGTGATGCATGTGATTTGATCTAACTTTTTTTTTGGTGGGAGGTAGCCAATTGATAAAATAAGTGACGCATTAAAGAATTCCTCTTCTATCTGTACTTTCAACTTCAGGGACAAAAAGATAAAACTAAAATAACAAAAACTGTGAATCAGTGGGTCATTTTATATCTCTCTTTATTCTCTAGACTTTGAACATTTTACATCTATTGCAAAATTTTCATCCTGAAAAAAAGTAGCTACAAAATCCATATCTTCATCAAGGTGATCAAGTGTTGTTTCCATATAAATATGGCAGCTCATTTCAACGTACATGTAAGCAGGTGTATGTGGAAAATGTGGACGGAGTCAATTTTCTCGACAGAACCAGGTGAAAAGAAACTGTACTATTTAAAAACTCCTAATCATTGTGCAGAAATAAAAATAACACGAGATAAATATGTCAACTTTCCTACATCCACCAAAGAATTCTGTACAGCTTTAGATATTCCCAAAATTTACACAAAATTCATGAACAGATATCAACCCGTGCACTCAAAACCTGACAATTCTGAATAGTTATTCTGAATCTCTATGTAACTGACTTTAAACACAAATGCCTGACAAATTGATTTTAAGAAAGCTACAATATATACATAAACAGTGCTATGATATGAATTAAAATGAAATTAACATATTTGTAGACAAAAAGGTTGGCACAGCATACAAATCTGTCTTTTGAAAAATTTGACTTTTTAACAATAAATAAGGGACAGTTGTTTGTTCAAACACCATCTTTGATTTAAAGGTCTAAAAACTTGGTCTATGGTGACAGTACAATACGAGCATGTTTCCTTTACTAAAAAGTGTTCGCAATTATTTCATGTGGACGGCTTTGATTTCACTTTTACAAAGTTTCATTAAACTGTTGGACGGAATAAAAAACTGAAAATATAAAAGTGGTCAAATTGGCTATTTCGATACAAGTAGTCAATTTCATGTGATCAATTTATTAATTGCTACTTTGTTTTATAGAAATAATCACACACAAAAACAGTTTTAGAAAATATAATGTGCATCTCTGAGTACCAAAAATACTTAATTAGAAAAATGAACTAAGATGAAATTTTGATTTTAAACTGTGACAAAAATCAAGCCATGTATTGCAAAATTGATGAACAAGTGTAATCAAAAGTATTTACAGCTGCTCGTGAAAAAGTCTCCAATGTAGAGAGAATTCAGGCAACCTTACAGCCCACTTTGTCACAGTTCAGATCTGACCAATAAAATGGAATTCCTGCAGGAACTCTGATTGAAATCCAAATAACCTTCCGTTAAACTTGCACACAAATTTGAGCTTCAAGATCAATTCTGCTTCGGTTCTTTGACAAGTTGTTTTTCTCGCTTTGATATTTGTGCTTGATAAAACAAACTTTGGAATGATAGTTTCTTGACAAGCTATTTCCAATTCATGTGCACTGCTAAATATGTCAACGAATCCATCTCCCTATCCCCAATAACTCAAATCTGATGGACATAACTGAAGTCCTTTTCGGCTCAGTTCAAAGGGTGGTTGCTTTCCTTCATGATGAATTCTCCTACGCAACAGTGAGGACGTCCTCTCACTTCTTGTGTCCTCGGACGTATGAGTGCAGCTGCTGCTGTTTCTCCTCTAGCTGGCCGCGGACTGCGTCCAGCCTCTTGGACAAGCTGTCCCGTTGGATGGTCAGCAAGGTCAGCTTATCTTGGGCCTCGGCCAGCCTGGCCGTAGTGTACCGGATCAGTGCCGGCTGCAGAAGGGCAAACAACGCACAACCAATAATTTTTTTGTCATTCAAGTCTTGAGTGACAGAGTTAATTGAATTCCGGCTGAGAGAAAGACTGTGATTGGAAAAAAAAAATCAGCATTTGTTTTTACGTAGCCAGAGATGTCAGTTGATGTTCTTGCAATGACCAAACAAAAAGAATTAAAATCATTAAAATAAAAACTTTCTCTTAATAATATATAAAAAAGATCTCAGCTGTCCCTTATTTGATTTTGGCAACACTTGGCATGCACATAAACACATTTATCACATCTGAGTAGATCTGTGAAGTTTCAATTCAATCCAACATAAGGTTTTGCTATTATGAGCAATTATATTTCATGGTCTCCAGCATGCAAGCAAGTCTGAATGAAATGAAGCAAGTCAATGGAAGAGGTTCGCATTTCCAGTGTCCAAATGACCCTAAGATATTAGACAACTCAGAATGGTACAACACAGAAACGAAATGCTCAGCGACGATGTGAGAGAAAAGGCCTATGCCCCCCCCCCAATCCAGCTCTCTTAGGAGTTAGGTACTGGATTAGGGTCATGAGTACCGGGTTTAGGGATCAGGGCAAGGGTCGGAGTTTGGGAACACCTACCTCTGATTCGTCAAATTGGCCTTCCTTCAGCGCCTTCTGAGCCTCGAGCTCCTGCGTCATCTGGGCCATGGTGTCCTGCGTCTCCATCACCTGGGTGCTGAGCCCCGAGAACTCCACACTCATACGGTCCGCCTTATCCTCCAGGGATTTCACCTCGTCCTGAATAAAAAAAAAAGGACACAAACAATTATTCAATGATAAAGACATGTTGGCTGGCGAAAGCTTGGAGATGGAGTGACTAGTGAACGGTGAAGGAAGTAATCTTTTCCTGGGGTGAACCACTTATTACTTTGGCCCAAAATTTGACTTTTTAAAAGTCTAAACTTTTTAAAACCTAACTTTTCATACACAGCCTAATGCCACATATACTGTTTTCGTGGAGTCATTTGAACAGTATATGTAGAGTATTAATGGAAGTCCTATTTTTTCAACACTCTGGGATGTGCCCACAAAGTGATATTGGCTACCGCAACACGCTGTACACCCCGGACAATCAACAGCCTTCAACAGACTTCTCAGACTCTGCGTGAGTGTTCAAAATTAGTGAAGTGTACGTGAAGTGAACGGCAGCTGGAGGTGAGTCAAGATGCACTTAGCCATTCAACTTCTCAGCTGTGCTTGTGTGTACAGAAGGCCTGATACACGTCCAATAACCGCAAACTGGATGACAGCTGCTTTCAATGATGTCTTTTTTCCTGCCTGCACATTTGGGGATGGGACCTTGTATCTATGCTTTCACCTTGTAAACAAGGCAAAGTGATGAATCCAATGAAAACTAAGCAACTGAGAGCCTGCTTGCATTCAGCTCAATACCCGATGTTTGATTCAATCATCAGACCTTTCACATTTTCCATTTTATGGGGACACTCCACTCTCAAAATGAGACCTCAAAAAACTGCAGCTCCACACCAAGTGACTCTTCAGGCCATTTTTTTTAAGAGGAGCTGATTTTTCTTTTGAGTTGGCATCAGACCAGACTGAGCTCTTTATTTTGATGTATCACTGAGTATGGCACTCTCAGGAAAATGGATATTGCCTGGGTGTAAAATGTTGAGGGTGCCAACTGATTTTAACTATGCGTGATTGCTTTCAAGGGTTTCAAAATCAAATGAGAGGTGCTGGCAATTTGTGACCCAGTTTTTTTAGGGTGGGCAGAACCAAACAAGATACCTGCAGATAGACTAGGTGCTGGTCTTGTCCCTTGGTAGGTTTTCTAGCCTGTTCCTGGGTCCCCCCGCTGGCCACTCCGGGCTGGGCGACGCTCTGCCAGAGAGCAGTGCCACTTAGCTCTCCTGGCAGTTCCTCAACGGCTCTCTTGGCTGCTGCCATCGTGGCCTTGGTAGCTAGTGGAGTCTGGCCGCCTGTCAGTGTGGCCAGGCGGCTCTCTACTGCCTCATGGGCCCCATGCTGTCGGGCCAAGGCTATCTTATCCTCAGCAGTGCCCAAGAGAGATTGCATCTCTTGGTTGGTGGCGAAGCTGCCGTACTTGGACAACCTGGAGGAAAACC